GCCCAGCACAGTGCCTGCACATAGTAAACGCTCAGTAAATACTATGGAGAAGAGTTCTGCAAACGCTGGAAAAAAGAAAGGTGCTCTACAGAGGTTTATAATCAGTGGAGACAATGAGACCAGGACCACCAAGGGGAGGGCTGAAATGAGAATGAAGCTACGAGGAAGTGCTTTTAACATCTCTGATCTTGACACAAGGTAAGGGCCCCAGGGAAGCTTTGGAGGGCAGACTCACTCCAGGCGAACGGAGGAGGAGGGCCCCGGGTGGTGTGGCTCAACCAGCTGGGCAAACCAACAGGTCTCCGGTTCGATTCCCGCTCGGGGCACACGCCTGGGTTGTAGGTTCAGTCCCTGGTCGTGAGGCGTGCAGGAGGCAACCCATGGATGTTTCTCCCTCACATCAATGTTTCCCTCCCTGTCTTTCTCCCTCCCTTCCCCTTTCTCTAGAATCATTTTTTAAAGGTTTTATTTTTTATTTATTTATTTTTTACAGAGGGAAGGGAGGGAGAAAGAGCGAAAGAAACATCAATGTGCGGTTGCTGGGGGCCGTGGCCTGCAACCCAAGCATGTGCCCTGACTAGGAATCGAACCTGTGACACTTTGGTTCACAGCCCACGCTGAATCCACTGACCTACACCAGCCAGGGCTGAATCTTTTTTTTTTAATGGAGGAAAAGGGCTGCTCAGAGCATCAGTGGTGACTCTGTCCTTCCACCAGCCCCTCCAGCTAAGGCCCACCCAGTCTCACCAATGCACGGCGATCACTGGGGAAGCTGGAAGAAAGGAAGACAGAGATGTTCCCTTGGAAGACCTCAAACCCACAGTGGTGGGGCTGCAGCCCCCAGAACCCCAAACCTTTCCACACTAACTAAGCCGTGGCTGCCCAGGCAACAGACAGCTTAGCGCAGCAGAAAGGGCGCCTGCTAAGAATCAGACACACCAGGGTTCGAATCCCAGCTCTGCCCCTCACTAGCGGAGAGCCCAGAAGCAGCTCTGGCACTGACGCAGGGCCCCCCCGGGAGCGCACACCACTCCAAGAGGGCCTCTGCCACAGGCCCAGCAGCTGGGTGCCCTGGCCCTGGCCTAACGCACACAGGCACCACAGACAGGCCAGCCCGAAGTTCAGACTTTCCATACAAACAGGGAGGCTCCACAGCCCCAAATGCCCCAGGCAACTCCCCTGCTCCCCAGCCCCCCCAGCCACTGTACCCCTCCAAGGACAATGAGGCACTGTTTTCTGGAGGGTCAAGACTGCTGAGAAGCTGAGAGAAGACATGTCCAGATTCCAGCGGTGGCTGGGGATTGCCAACAGCTGGCTGGTTCCCCTGGGAGGGGAGGACGGCAAAGTTACCAAGGTCTGACCTGGCCTCTACCCTGCCCAGCACCACCCTAGAGGCCACATTCTGGGGATGGCCCCCAGGGTGGGAAGTTTAAAGGTCACTAGCAGTCACTCAGCAGACCCCATGGCTCATCCCCCCTCCCCCGTTAGTCACTTAACACTCCTTACTTTATTACGATTAAAAGTACCAGGACCTGAACTGGATCAGTCTGGGTTCCAATCCCAGGTCCCTCCCTACCCTACCCTGTGACCCTGCCAGAGCTCAGGTTTCCGCATCTGTAAAACGGAGAGAAAACACCTCCCTCTCAGGCCCTGGCTGGTGTAGCTCAGTGGATTGAGCTCGGGCTGAGAACCAAAATATCACAGGTTCGATTCCCAGTCAGGGCACATGCCTGGGTTGCAGGCCATGACCCCCAGCAACCGCACATTGATGTTTCTCTCTCTCTCTCTCTTTCTCCCTCCCTTCCCTCTCTAAAAATAAATAAATAAAATCTTAACCAAGGTCTGTGATGAGACTCACCAAGCGCCCCGTCCCCTGCCTATCTCCCGTCCAGCAGAGCATCACTAGGGGACCACAGCTGTGGACACAGGCTCCCAAGCACACTGTCCCCCGGGAGCGAGGGGCAGGCAAGGAGTCAGGTCAGAAAGTGCAACCACCGCACGCCTCAGAGCTGTGGGCACTCTGTCCAGGAAACTCCGGCCAGGGAACAGGACAAACTCTCGGCCAAACCAGCATCGAAAGAGTAATGAGAAAAGCCGCCCTCCAGCACAAAGCAGAGAACACACAGGGAAAGGCTGTGTTTGTGTTTTTCTGCCCGAAGACCTATAAACTTGTAACTTACTAAGTAGCAAGCACATGGTGAGTCTGTCACCGGCAGCTGCGGGGAGGGGTGAGTTCCCCAACTTTTTTTTAAAGATTTTATTTATTTTTAGAGAGAGGGGAAGGGATAGAGAAAGAGACGAAGAGAAACATCAATGTGTGGTTGCTTCTTGCACGCCCCCAACTGGGGACCTGGCCCCCAACCCAGGCATGTGCGCTGACTGGGAATCAAACCGGGGACACTTCGGTTCGCAGGCTGGCGCTCAATCCACTGAGCCACACCAGCCAGGGCATCCCCAATTTTTTTTTTAAGACCAAAAAGCAAAATCACACGCGCGTGGACTCTTGGCCCCACCAGCCTTGCCACAGGATGACCGCAAGCTCATCCCCGTTTCAGGGACCCGGAGCCTCCCCCAGAGGCTCACAGCTGAGGGCACTCTTGGGAGGAAAATAAAAACAAGAGGCCTGGCCTCTGTGTCCACCCTAACTAAGGAAAACAGCTGACGGGAAGAGTGCGCTGCGCAGTCAGCCAGACAGCTGATGGGGCCTGAGCACAGAGGCAAATTCCTCTCCCCTCCTGCACGCCTCATTCCTCCCACCCCAGGCTCCGGTCAGCCAGGCGTGGCCGGCCCCCTGGGAGCTTAGGCCACCACGGAGACGGAGCCGGGCAGCCGGGATCCAAACAACTGGGGAGGCGGTGGCAGAAGGAGGCAGAAGTTACAGGTGGCAGCCCTCACCCCGCTGGGACCCTTCCTTCCCGTGCGGCTCACTCCCTCCTCAGGAAGAAGGGCCTCTCCTACATCACTGCTGCAGATCCTACACCACTGCTGCAGATCGAGGCGCCAGCATCTGGGCTTCCAGTCCCGGTTGCCGCCTGGGGGCTGTGCGGCCTTGGGCAAGTGAATCAACCTCTCTCAGTCTCCGTTTGCTCAGTCTGTAACAGGCAGGTAGTAATGACAGCGGCGGTGGCCCTGAGGGGCTGGTGTACAGGGCCGCTGCGAGGACAGCACCAGTAGAAAGGAGTCCGGGGAAGAGCTCCACGGACAGCAGACTCAAAGCCCTGCAGCGCCCCTGGCCAGAACGCTCTCCTTCCCTTCAGAGACGAACGTGGTCTCCTGGCCGTACATGGAAGACTGTCAGGAGACAGGAATTCAGGGCTTCGGCTGCAAACCTACAAGGCCTTTCTCCTTCACACAGCACAGGAACTGTGTAGAAACCTGGAGACTTTCAGATCCTGATTTTAAAAATATCTCCCAGCCTCCTTTCAGCTTACTTTTATGTAAAAAAAAAAAATACCTGCCCTGAAGCCATGCCAACCTTGAGTGTGTTGGGAAAGTGGGTGCCAAGCCCGACCCGACGGCTGAACTGAGCTTGGCAGCCATCGCACTCTGCAAACAGGCAGGATCGGACCCGCGCCATCTCCAGCACCAGGTGGGGGAGGGTCGGGGACGGGGGCGGGGGTACATGATCCCAAAGCAGCAGCCAGGCAGCCGTGTGAAGCCCCAGTCCTCCTCCCAGGCCCCCCGGAAGGCCAGTGCTGACAAAGGGCCAGCCTTAGCCTAGTGCCCTGTGCCCTCGGGGGAGGCCCATCAGTGGGGGAGTGGATGAATCCACTCCTCAGACCCTGCGACAGAGGAAGCAACGATGGTCACACAAGGCACCCACAGTCCCGAGAGGGAAGACAAGGCTCCTACAGAGAAGAAACGTCCCCCCTCCTCACCTCCCCAGCTCAGAGCCCTCCAGCTCCAGGCAAAGAAGGGCAGGAAGAGCGAACCCTTCCGCCCCAGAGTTCACACTGCTCAAGGCATTCCTAGAACCCTGGCACCAACCCCCTTGGCTGCAGTGTCTGGTTCCAGGAGACACTCTCCCTGCCCTAACAGCAAATCAAGACGGGAGTGAAAAGAGTGCTTTTGGAGCTCCAATAACACGAAAACAGTAAAACTCTGTTCCGGGCATCCTGTCCTCCTTTCCCGTGTGGCTTCCAGCAAGGCCTGATGCTAGGTGGAGTGAAGGGACTCTGCCAGCCCAGACGAGTTCAAAGACGGCCAAACCTTGAGGCCCACTTCCCTCCTCACTCCCCTGGCACTCCATCTCACCGGTGTCTGGGAGCGGGGTGAGAATCCTGTTTCCCCAGATTAGTCTGGCCCACGGGCAGGAGAGGGCAGTCAGCGAAAGGGAGTGACCGGCCCGTGAAACAGGGCGCCCAGACCTGACCTGGGGGGTTAGTGGGGCACGCGGGAAACTTGTCTCTTTGTAGGGGAGCGGCTCCTCTCTAACTTGGGAGTCTGACTAGTGACCCGAAAGAGGTGGGCTCGGAGAGGTTATCGCTGAAGTGGCGGTGGTCCCGGAGCGGGTGGGAGCGCGCCCTGGAACTGAGGGACCAGCCTGTAAAACTAGGCAGCTGCTCCCCGACTCGGGCAATCTGTGAGGTGGGGGTGGGGGGGCGCTCTGTGAAGTGAGGGTCCCAAGGCTGGGGAGGTGGTCTGATCCTGGCAGTGAGGTCCTGCCCCCGAAGCGGACGGGGCGGGTTTTTGAGGTGCAAGCTGGTCCCCGAGGCTAGTGTGGGAGATGGGGGTGGGTCCCTGAGGTCGGGGGTCCGGAGGTGGGGCGGTCCCCGAGGCTGGGGGTGGCGGCTGTAAAGACCGCGGCGAGGCCGGCCTGGTCCGGGACTCAGGCCCGGTCCGGGATCCCGGCCGCGCGGAGCCCCGGCCAGCCGGGACAAGAGCGGAGACCAGAGCCGCCGAGGGTGAGATCCCGCGGCCCCGGCCGATCGCTCGCGCCCGCCCGGCCCGGGGCCGCGCGCCCTTCGCTGCCTCCCAACCTCGGCCTCCCGCTCACTCACCGAGGTCGTCCATGGCGGGGCTGTGGGAGCCGGGAACCGACTCGACGTCGCGCTCGCTGCCCGTCCGGGGGACGATCCTTTCCGCCCTGCAACTTTTCCGCCGCGAGCTTCGGCCCGGAACAGAACGCGCTGCCGCCGCGCGCGCCCGCGCCCACAGCGCGCCCCGCCCCCGGCTGTCCCCGCGAGCACGCGCGCCCCGCCGCCGTGCGCCCCGCCTGCGGTCGTCCCCGGGAGCATGCTGGCCCCGCCCCGTGCGCACGCTAGCCCCGTCCCCTCCGCGCCCGCGAGCTCACTCCCAGCCCAAACGGTGGGCGAAGCTGGGCGGGGCGGCGGCGCCCCCTTGCGGCCCAGCCGACAGGTGGGCGCCCCCCAGGCCTTAAGGTCCTCCAGTCGGTCTGTCATCTCAAAGTCACATGCCTGACTTCATCTGGACGACAGATCCATCAGCCTGTCTTGATATCTCAGTCTGATCTGTGTCTGTCCATCCATCAGCTGGAGAGTCAGATTTGTCTGCCTGTCTCCCAGTAGATCACCTCCCAGGAGAACCCTAAATCAGTACCAGGCCAGGAACCTTTGAAGGACCTTTCCTGGGGTCCCCCTCAGGGCCCATGGCAGTGTAACTTGAAGCCCAGCCTTTGGGGTCAGACTCACTCCCTTAACCTTCCACATGTCCACCCTCTCCAGAGTGAGAGTTCCAAAACTCTGCATGGAACAGAAGGGACCCCACCTAGACATTAAAAGAAACACTACAGGAAGGTTACAGCTAGCGCCAGGCACAGTGTCCTGGAACGCCCACTGCCACCCCAGACCCCCGAGGGCTCCACTCCCATAGACTCAGAAATCCAGTAATAATAATAGCTGCCATTGATTAAGTGCCAGATACCATATAGCTGTTACCTAAGTTAATTCTCATACAGGTGGTTATTGCTATTAGCCCTTCCACACATTTTTGAATGGGCCATGGTAGTCTGTCGATTTTATATATAAATGCGCTGTAAGCGCAGATTCAAGCTCCCCTCCCAAAAGAATGCAGCCCCAAGATCCTCTGTCAGGCCAGGTCCTCCCGGAAGCAGAGACGAGAGAGAGCGAGCTGCGGTTGGGCCAGTGAAAGAGATGGGGAAGAAGCGGGACTGGGTCAGGAGAGACTCAGGTCTAACAAACAGGAAGCCCCGGAACAAGAGGTCAGAGAGGGATCCCTGCTGGGCAGAAGCATCTAGGCCCCAGGTCCCCACCATGCTCAGCCATTGGCTGGGGCTGCCCAGGACGAGTGTGGCCTTGCATCTGGAAGCTGTCATTCCTTGAGCTGGAAAACAAGCTCTTTTTTGAAAGCAGAAGCAAGAGGTTCACATCTGCAGCTGCTACCGCCTCCTATATTAAAATTCAGGAACCCAGACTGCCCCACAGCCAGGCAGTCACTCTGTGGCTTGCCCTCCCAACTGCTGTCTGTGGACACGTCTCACGGCTGCACTTTACCCTCAGTGGGGGGATTATCTGGTAAGGTCTGTCTCCCTACCAGGCTAAAAGCACAGAAGGGAGGAACTGTGTCTGTTTCTGCTCCCCGAGTGTGCAGACTTAGTATGTGTATGGCAGAAGGTGCTCAATATACATTTGCCAAATGCCTGGCAGGCGTTGTGCAAACCACAGCCCCTCCCACAGTTTAATAGAAGACTCTGAAGATTAAGATTGGGCGATAACTCATTCACTTACCCAGGAGCAGAACAGCAGGGTCACAGATAATGTTTTAAAAATGTATATTTAAGTCTCATCTTCAGTCCCCTGCTTCAACACCCCAGTGGTTTCTGTTGCCCTTGGAATAAAATCTGGACTTTCTGAATGGCCTAGAAGGCCACCTGTCACCACCTGTCAGATTTTGTCTTCTTCCAGCCTCCCCTGGTCATCCCATTCCAGCCACGCTGGCCTTCACTATGTCGCTGGAGCACGGCGAACTAGTTCTGACTTGGAGCCTTCGCAGCCGTGGGCCCCTTTCTGGAATGTCCTTCCTAGATCTCGGCACGGCTGTTCCTGTTCAGCATTGTAGTCTCAGTTCATGAATCACCTCTCTGCAGGTCCCGAACATTTTCTCTAAACCCTTTGCATCCCCCATCAGACCCTGTCCCCATATCCTGATTGATGTATTTATGTTCACCTGTTGACATTATGTTCAGTATTTGCTTGTTTGTTTATTCTTTGTCTCTCTCACTAAAGAGTCGGCACTCTGAGATGAGGGACTGTGCCTGGGTTGTTCACTGCTTGCTCACCAGTGTCCGGCATGGAGGCTGCTCAGTAAATACTGTTCGAAAGGAAGAAAGGCCGGGGACACAGAGGTACAAAGAGAGGAGTGGGCTGTGCTGTGGAGTTACCGTAGCTGCAGGACCAGGAAGAGAACCCCAGGATCCTGGCTCCAAGCCCACACCTCTTTCTTCTGTCCCAGGCCACTCACAGAGCTCTTCTAGGATGACAAGGCTCAAGGACAGGGTGCTCAGGGGTTGGCGGTGCTGGTTGTAAGAGCAAAGAACTGGAAACGACCCAAATGTCCATCAATAGGAGACTGGTTAAATAAATTACAATCAGTTCTACAAAGGAAAATCATGTAGCCACAGGGAGATTGAGGAAGCTCTTTATGGACCGATATGAAACAGTTCTAAGATCTAAAAATTTCCTGGCTGGCGTAGCTCAGTGGATTGAGCGCGGGCTGGGAACCAAAGTGTCCCAGGTTCGATTCCCAGCCAGGGTACATTCCTGGGTTGCAGGCCAGAACCCCCAGCAACCGCACATTGATGTTTCTCTCTCTCTCTCTCTATCTCCCTCCCTTCCCTCCCTAAAAATAAATAAATAAAATCTTAAAAAAAAAAGATCTAAAAATTTAAATAAAACTGAACAGTGTGTGTAACATGGGTGCCTTTGTGGAGAGAAGTGGGAAATGGTGTATTTGTTTATGAGGTGCATATACATGCTGGAGCATCTCTGGAAAAATAACTCAACTCTAGTGTCATTTGGCAAAGGGCGGGGGTGGGGGGGAACAGGTGGCAGCGGGGCAAGAGGGGGAAGGAGATTTCACTAAATACCCTCTGGAATCTTTTGAATTTTGAACCACACATGCAATTTCACCTATTCCCAGAATGAATTACAGTTGCAAAATAAAATGCCACTGCGTTGTAAGAATGATACTGCAGACACCAACGTGAATCAACTGCCCAAGAGTAATTCAAATGAGGCTTGGAAAATGTTTCCTGGAAAGGAGCTAACTCTGACCTGATTTTTGGAGACTAGGAGGCTGTGGGAAGGGCACTCCAGAAGGAGGGGTTGATGTTCGTTCGGAAAACGAACATGCCGAGGGCTCCGAATAGGGGTGCAAAACTGGAAGTTTCCAGCCTCCCCTGCTAATCTCAAGGATGAGCCAGGTGACCCAGAAAGTGGGTCCTAGCAGGCACTCCAGCCCTCTGGGGGAAGCCCTTTAGGGTCTGGAAGTCCCAAGACAGACAAAGGTTCAAATCCCAGCTCTGCCACCTGTCAACTGTGCAGCCCTGGGCATAATACCTCACCTTTCTGAGCCTCGGTTTTCTCATCAGTACAATGGGCATAAGGTTCTGCAGGTTTGATATTTAACTGGGTGATTTGTGTCAAGTTGGCTTCATCACACTGAGCCTCAGTGGCCTTCACTGTAAAATCCGGATAATAAAACGTTGTGTGCATTCAACAACAGCAACCAAAATGCAGGAAAAGAACTGAGAAGCGCTAGCTACAGACGATCATGGGAAAACCCAGGTGAAACTTTAGGGCAACGAAGGATAGATTTGGGCATTTATCCAGCAACCGAAGGGTTGAAGAATCAATGCCATGGATATTATTAGTAATTTTAATAATGATTACATTAAAATAATCTCTTACATCATTATTTCATTTAATCCTTGCAAAGATCCAATGGGGGTTAAGCCTTTTTTACAGGCTAGGAAACTGAGACTCATAATTAAAGTCACCTGCCCAACGCCACACAGGTACGAAGTGGCAAAGTCAGGGTTCAAGCCCAGGACTGTCCGACTCCAGAATCCATGTGCGGCTCATGAAGGGGAGCGTGGGGGTTTTTCACAGTCCCCTGGAGAGTTCAAGTTCCCCAGCCGGCTTGGACACGGTGCCTTGAAAAGGCTTTGCTGCTTCTGAATTTGGTGGTGGTGTTGGGGGAGGTCCCTGTCTAGGCCACCCATTGCCCTGCTCAAAACTTTCATGATGCCAGAATAAAGCCTAGTGATTTTCTATGACCTCTGACCTCATTTGAGGACCAGTGCGATGTGTTTTCTCCCCAGCTCCCCCTTTTTCCTTTCTCAGCTCCAAACACAGAAAATTGCTTTTAACCCCTCTCCTGGCTCTAGACCCCTGCAGGTTCTGTTGCCCTTGCTGAAATGCATCCTGTCCTCTTTCCACCTCTGCTCCTTCAGCTCACAGCTCAGGCACCCTCTCCTCCAGGAAGCCTTCCCTGACCACCTCCCAGGCTTGGATAAGTGGTCCCACAATCCCCATCCAAGCATTTAATTGTCAGGTACCATTGGAAGCACTTTTCCTATATTATTTCATAAAATCTCTGTGGCAATGAGTCCCTTCCTTGGTGGCACATGGAACTACATAGGAACATTAAAAAATGTGTGTGTGTGTGTGTGTGTGTGTGTGTGTGTAGTCCAAGACTAACCTGCAGAAATTCTGATTTAATTTAATTTAATTTAATTGGCCTGGAATGCAGCCGGGGCATCAGAGCTTTTCAAAGCCCCCCAGGTGATTCTCGCGCACAGCCAGAGTGCAGACCCATGGCCTCTGAGGCAGATGTGATCCCAACACTGCTTTTACAGCCAGGGACCCTGAGGGACAGAGGAGTAAGTGGCCTAAGGTCATGCAACTACTGAATAGTGGTGTGAGGATTGGAACCCAAAGCTCCGTGGCAGGTAGAAAAGCAACTGGCCTCAGTCAATATTCCCAGGGACAGAGAGCTGTGAGCCAGCTCTCTTCAGAGACGGGCACTGAGGGCCCCGTGGGCACGGGGTAGTTCTACCCTGAGTGATTCTTGCAGACATCCTGCAGTGACTTAAACACCGAGAAGACTGGGGCTGGCGGGCCCCTGGCCTGCTGAAGTTGTCCTTGGGGCGCAGGCTGGATCAGGTCACAGGGTGGGAGTGCTGGGTGAGGGCCCCACTCCCCCGGGGC